CTATAAAATATAAAACCTTTGGAAAACTATTTACGAGCAATAAAATTTACGATATTTGCAAAAGAAATAAATATTCTAATTCAAAAAGTCAACTTGGGCCCATGTCTTGGAACCCAACCAAAATTATAAAATATGAACACACATACGATAACGAGTCCAACCATAGAATATTTACTCAAACAAAAGAAAACTATCAATCAAACTAGAATGTAAAGGTAAAGAACTATACTAAAAGTGGCAAACTATTAATATTTACCATAAAATTTTTGAAACTTTATATAAAAATATACATATATATAGGTGTAATAATAAATTTAAAATAGCTACTCCTATAGTCGGTTTGGTTCGGTTTTTTTCGGTTTTTTTTCGATTAAAACCAAAACCAAACCAAATTTGATCGGTTTTTAAAATTCAAAACCAAAACCAAACCAAACTAAAAAGTATCGGTTTTTTTTGTCGGTTTGGTTTGGTTTTCGGTTTGGTTCGATTTTCGGGTTTTTATGAACACCCCTAACTGCGTGCAAAGACAAAGCGTAACGACAAGACACGTTAACACGTACACAATAGCGTACTTCACGTTCTCTGTATTGCAATTATCAAGTGGGGGCAAATAACACCATTTGATTACATGTTCGAATGGTACACCAACAGGATCAGAACAAAAAAACGCTGTTGACCTGACAAGACAAAACCCACTTAAAAAGTTTAATTGGTTGTCTACTTGTCTTTCGTGGACCATCTCATTTAAATCTTTGCGAGTTGTAGTACTATAGAAATGTAAACATTTTTTTCTAGTAATCGTAGTGTTCAGATCAGTTTTTATATATCTCGATTTATTTTACGGAATATTTACTACTACTGATTAGCATATATACTTTAAACTTTCTCTATCAAACTTTGACAGATGAAAAAAAATTACCTACTATTTTACCTCTGCGTGAATATAAACAGGAGATTTTATGGTTTTTAACCAGCTTCATTAACCACTAAATCATATCGTCTGAGTGCTATAGAGATAGTAAACTTATTGAGAGAGGAAAAGTAAATAATTTTTGGACTGTGCATGAGATTTTTATTGGATTTTTCTTTAAAAGGTGTGAATGAAAAATAGAAGATGCACCTTTTGGTTGTATCTCTCTGTCTCATCCGTTGATTGTCTAAAAATTTAGAGGCTTGATCTCATTTTTCATACATCAAAAATTCTGAAATTTCTCCCATTTTCTTTGCATTGTTTTTCCAAAACAAAATATAAGTGTCATGTGTGATTTGCTCCGCCTTATTACTGTAGGCATATAAATTTTATTGAAATTAAATCCATAAAATAATTTGGACTATATTTTAAATTCAAGATATATTAATTCAAATAAATTTATTGGGCTATTATAATTAAATTAATTATATAAGTCCAACATATATGGATTAAATAAATAAGTCTTAATCCATTGGGCTAAAGTGATGAGCCCACTTCATTAAGCCCAAGATGACATCTTCCTAGAGGCCCAGTTTGGTGCCACATGTCAAATGACCTGGCGCGCCAAGTCAAACGGAAGAGCCAATAGGATCATGCCACGTGTCAAAATGACAAGGCATGCCAAGTCACACTAAAAGGCCAATGAAATCGCGCCACGTGTGCAAGTGATATGTTCTGGCCAATCAAATGCGGTCATGTCACACTTCAATTTGATTGGTCGGAAAGAGTTTGTTCTTATCATGACTCCTCCACAACTATAAATAGGGGTCTTCATAACCCAGAAAAGGGACCAGAAGCTATAACAAGAAGCAAGAGAAAGCTCGTGGATCAAACACCGCAAATTCCTCCACAAGTTTCAAGCTTTAAGCAATCAAGTTCAAGTTCAACAAATCAAGTTCAAGCTCAAGAACGAAGAAAAATCAAGTTCAACCTCAAGAACGAAGAACAAATCAAGTTCAACCTCAAGAACGAAGAACAAATCAAGGTTCAAGGAGTGCGGGTTCAAATCAAAGTTCGTGCCAGTTGAATTCAAGATCATCGTTCGTGGCAACAAACATAGATTCAAGATCAAGCTCAAAGGCCCTTGAATTTATTTACTGTTGAAAAGAAGAATCAGAGGAATCATAGAGACTGTAACACTCAAAAATTCAAAATAAAATACTACGATTGTTGCGATATTTTCGATCTTGATTTTATTTTCTCGACGCAAATTTATTGTCTACAAATTCTGGCACGCCCAGTGGGACAATCTCTACCTCTCATCTCAACTTTTCAATCACCAAAGTTCAAGAACATTGAAATGGCTTCGAAGAAAATCAACTCCAGATCAACATCCACCAAGGCTGCTAACTCCAGGCTCTATGCTGATGTGGAAATCATCCTCGATGTTACCTTTGGAAGCTTCGGACCAGTTACAAGGAGCAAAGCAAGCTCTTTAGAACAACAAGCACCCCAAGAGCCGTCCGCATCAACCCCTATTTTCGGATCTTCATCCTCAAAAGGAGCAAGATCTTCCACAAACGCATCTGAAGGAGGAAGCGATGTTGTTGAAAAGATCAAGAAAACTCTTGTTTTGCTTGACCTCTCCGGATCCAAGCACTCTGCTGTGAAGGAAGATGATGATGCTTCAAGTGATGGATCCTCCCCACTTACACCGTATAGCGTGAGCCAATCAAGGATAAATCTGTGTGAAAGTCCATGCTACTCTCCGTCGTCCACGACAATCATGCAAGCCATGGTGACAAACACTTCATCTATGGAGGAGTTGTTGGCAAACATGACGGAAGCAATCGCTGGCTTGACCAAATGCATGCAAAATAAAGAGGCTAGAATTGACAAGCTAACAGACAGGGTGGGAATCTTGATGGGAGAAGAATCCACCCATGCACCCGGCAAGCTCCTAGAGGTTCTAGAGAGTGACTCTTCCCCGAGACAAGCAGCATCCACTAAGGCTATCCCTGTCTCATCTGAAGGGATGATTCCTATCGATCAATTGAAGGAGTTCATTGAAGGAACCATTAAGAACAAATATGAAGTTGCTGCCAAATCCTCCCTTACATATACAAAGTCGTACACTGCAAG